CATGGGCTGAGATGTCACCAGTATGCGGATGAAACCCAGCTCTATCTGTTGTTGGGCGGCCAGTCTGACTTCAAACCGGAAGATCTGGACTGGGTGTTGCAAGCCGTGTGTCAGCTATGCTGCCTTGAAAGTTGGAAAGGTTGGTCTGTGTCTGGTTAATTGCTATTGCATTCCTTTCTGTGCTTTTCCTGCTGTGCGCCGAAACGCTTATCTATACAGATGTGCAGGAGGGTGTTGTAGTGTCTGGGATTTCATTAGGTGCCGTGGGAGAGCGTTAGTTCTCAGCTTCAGCTACCTAACGGTCTCTAAGCCTTAGCCCGCATGCGGGAGGCCGTCTAATTGGCCAGTACTGTGGGGGGGGGGGGCATACGAATACCCTATATCCTATTATGCCCATGGGGCCGCCGCCATTCTTAACAGTCCCTATGTTACTGCATCTATAGCTGACCATTTTCCACCCCTGCATCACAGAGGTGTGCACTTTTGATGCTATGCCTATGGTGACAGCTGCAGTGGTTCAGAGTGAGATCTGAATCAGGGAGTGTTTGAACTGGCAGGAGAAAGAGACTCCCTTGGGTCCAAACAGCAAGCTACATCAAATTAATGTAAAGGGATTCATGTTTTCCTGCTATGTTTGCTTTGTCTTCCTGTGGTCCATATTCTTTGACCTTTTTTCTCTGTTCAAAACAGGAACTCGCCCTATCCATTTAATATGTTTATATGCTCTGACCCTTGGGACAGAATTGGCTGCAAAGATTAAAGATGAGAAGAACAGTTGGCTTCTATTGTAATATTGTAGTTGTCCTTTTGTAGACTCATCATGATTTTATACTGTGCTGAAAATCATGCACATGGCTCATGACAAAAAGTTGGGAGGATCCAGAGAAATCCCAGACTGAACTGGATGTCATGAAAGAACCACGTGCTTGAGGCGTATCCATGCTGCCCCATGAAAGCTAGAGGCACTAACCCAGGATAAGCCAAGTGTATACTCCAGACAGAAGTGGCAGTTTAGCCAGCCAAGAGCTTGAAGATGTCTTTAACTCCAAAGCCCCTGGTTATGGGCCAGTGTTTACTTCAGGGACATCTGACATTTACTCAGCTCATTGGGTCCTAGGTTGGTTTTCCTTCTCTGCTTTGCCCAGTTTGTCCATGCTGAAGTGCAAAATAGGACTGAGACAAGCACAGTCTGCATGGCTGCCTTTGAAGAGAGGCCTTAGGAATCCAAGAAAGCCAGCCAAAACACCTGCCGTTTTCCATGTCATGCACTTGGAAGCCCAGCTCCAAAGCACTGATCAAAAGAGCCTGAGAACCAATGGGGTGTACTGGTTACAGTGACAGACTAGGATCTTGGAAACCCCGGTTCAAATACCCGCTCTGCCACACACTCTCTGCCTAACCTAACTCACAGGGTTGTTGTGAGGATAAAATGGAGGGCAGGAGAAAGATGTAAGCTGCTTTGGGTACCCAGTTGGGAGAAAGGCAGGTATAAATGAAATGAATGAATGAATAAGAAGCTGAGAAGCAGTTGTGTGATTATGCCCCGACGTATCACCTACCCTCACAGTATGCGCCTGGCCCAGCCGGACAGGATTTGCTAACTTCACTTGAATCTGTGCACAGTGAAAAGAGCCATTGACACCAACAACTTCCAGCAAGCCATCATCATGCCTAAGATCGAGGGGGGGGGAAGAGAAGCAGAGATGTTTACTACCAACAATTACCAGTGGTTACCTCGGGTTCCATTTTTTAGATTATTCATCATAGGAGCCCTGCAATCAATAGATAAATGTTTCTCCTTGCAATCCAATCAATCCAATTTTGCCATCCTTACTTAGGAACCAATTCCCTGGATGGAAGGACCCCAAAGTATGAGAAAAGGAATCACGTACAACAAGAGAACATCCTTACCTTGCCAGAGGATAAAGCTCATCTCCCATTCCTTCCCACAGTCTACAGCCACCGCCCCAGTAGCCAATATTCAGAACTATAATCCCTTCCAAATTAGGCAGATCGATTCTCTCTCCATCCAACTCTAGCTTTAAAAACATACAGCAAAGCATTAGTGTGACTTGGTAACAATGAGCTGGTTCATGCTAGCTCTTCGGGAAGGTCAGGAGCCCTCTGCCCCAACAGAAAGGAGCTACAATTTTGCTTGTAGGAGAGCAATTCTCAACAGTTCACAACAGCCTGATTTTATGGCTCAGTAGGCCGTGGTGAGCATGAAAGAAGGGTGATCCAAAACACCCAACCATGGCTCACTGTAGGAGCAGCCCACTCCAGACTTCTCTAAAGAGGTGCCCAGCTCATGCTTTTGATTCCCACGTGCCCAGGACAGTAATTTGTCCTCTGACTGCGCTTCAGTTAAATATTTCTCAGGCCATATCTATGCCTGCAGCAGAATGGGCTGCACCATGACATACTTCAAGTGCAGGATTACTTTAAAAAAAAAAGAGTTTAAATATGCAAAGGGCTTATCTCCCTACAGCACTTGTATGTATATTTGCTAGGAGTTTTTAAAGTAGGGGTGCATGGAAAATTGACCTCTCTCCTGCCATCCACAAACAAAAGTAGTCAGCCCAATCATCTCATTGTGCAGATCAAGCCTCAGACTCTTTTCATTCTGGAGTCTACTGCCTTATAAGTGTTTTTCTTGGGAAGAGAGGAAAAAAGCAAAGCAACTTCTTGGGTGGACAAAAATAGCTCTTACCTCAATCTTTTTGTTCAAATCCTTACATTCCTGCACTAAACAATCTTTGGTTCCATAGAAAAAATAAACTGCCTTAAAAAAAAGAGAGAAAGGAATGTTACAGAAAACTGAACATGAAGGTGTTTTCCAAATGATTATCATTGATAAACTAAGTTTCTCTTAGGATTTAAGGAAAGAAAGGGAAGGAAAAAAATGCACTCGAATTTCCTAAACTAAGGCACATGGCAATCTTTTGACCCTATTAGTCACCGTGAACATCCAGAACAGAATTATAAAACCTGGATAACAGACTTTCTGCATCCAATTTCAAACTCAAAATGTATTCTGGCATTTGTATGTTTTCCAGGTTGCAAAATACCTATGGAATTTCAGATATATCCCAGTTCCTGCTGCAAATGCTATCACTATCTACAGAAAATAAAACACTGGAAGTAGGGTGGTACTTCAGGTCCAAGTAATAGTCACATTTATAGAGTAATCACCATGAGACTCTGGGAGCAGACTTAGTTTAAGACAAACTTTGTGCAAGGAAGTTTTTAAATGAGGAAAGTTTGTGTTCCCTGCAGTACTATCAAAGTTCAGGTGCTCCCAGAGAGTCTTGGTGAATCATGCTCAATGAATGCAGATATCTGACGAAAATATATCTGTATTCCTTTGATGCACTGCTTGAAATGCAAGATTAAAACCCCACTAAAAAGGGGGAGACAGTTCTGCAGTTCAGGAGTCATTATTTATTTATTAAATTTGATTTTATTTTTATACCACCCATTCCCTGTAAACAGGGCTCAGGGCGGTGAACAACAGTAGATAATACAACATATATCAGGTAAACCATTTAAAGCTACAATAAAATTCAGTCAAATTAAATCAGATGGTGATCAAGATTCCCAAGTATGCTACTGCCTTGCGGAAGGTGGTGGTGGTGGTGAGAGTGCCATGGTCTGCCAGATTTATTACAGGTTTGTAAACAGCAGGTGTACAGGAACAAACCAAATCATTTCCTCAACTGCAACCCAATGGAATGTAGAAGGTTTTGGTTTTACCCGGCATACCTTGTTAATAATCCTACTGGAAAACAGAGAGGGAGACTTCTTACGATGCGCGTGAAAATTTAGAGCCATGAGAGCATCTGGCCCTATAGAAAAATAGTTGTTCATTGTGAAGACCTGAAGAGGGGGGAAATGGAACAAGTAGCTTGAAAAATCCCTTGGAAAAACAACAAGAATGGTATGTAACTAAGATATCTTACTGTATCATTGTAATTAGTTGGTTTAGTACAATTAGTACTGTCCTTTGGTGTACTGTGTACACCAAAATAATATGCAGACTTCCTTCTTTGTAAAAAGTCTGTTTAGACAGTACTTGTATGCCTACTTACATGAGAATTAATCCCAATGAATAAAAAGGGACTCAACATATAGAGGCTCAGGCTGCACAACACAAAAACAGCCCAACACTTTGAACCAAAACAGTCACAGTGGAGAAATAAATCCAAGTATATTTTATTCACATATATAGCAAGGAGGTAGGTCACATGTCTATTTCAAATAGAAAATGGAGCACAATGGTGAGGGAAGCCCAACTCTGCTCCTTCCTTCTCTGCACGTCACAGATTTAAGCATTTTTTTCTTCCACTTCTGGTAAGGGCTGGGAGAAGACCTCTTCTGAACAACTGAGTACAATGAGGTGTGTCTGTGTGTGTGTGTGTGTGGGGAATGCAGGCTTTCACCTACATGTTATACTTCCTGTTTAAAAGCAAAGAACCAGATCTCACCCCTTGCTTTTCGTATATTGGTAGTGATTGGGCACTATACCAATACTCTGAAATCCTCACAGTTTCAGCCTCCTTACAGTTCAGAATGTTCAACTGTTCCCAAATGCACACCATGAAAGTCCTATAGAGAGGCTTTATACATATACACATGATCTGGCCACAGCAATTGATGCTCTGACTATATCCAGGTTAGAATAATGTAATGCACTGGATGTGGGGCTGCCTTTGAAAATGGTCTAGAAACTTCAACTAGTCTAAAATAAGGTAGCCCAGAGCTAGATACAAGGAATGTATCACTCTGATTCTGAAAGACCTGGGCTGGCTGCCCGTTTCCCCCCTCATACACAATTCAAAGTACTGGTTCTTACTTTTAAGGCTGGCTTAAAAGGTACTTGAAGGACTGCCTCCTCCCATATTGTCCAGTACACCAGTTAAGATCTGCCTCACAAGCCTGGCTCTCTGTGCCCCCGCCTTCAGAACTGAGGCAGGAGGCAACTAGAGGCATGGCTTTCTTGCTCATGGAATGTGCTTTCCCTGGAGGCTCTCTTTCAGGTGCCAGGCCAAAACATGTTTCTTTTTAGCCAGGCTTTTAATTAAAGGGTTAATTTTTGACCACCCTTCTTTTAGAGCTTTTACTTGGACACTATTAAATTCATTTAAAATTGTTCAGTGTTTTTACACTCTGGCTGGGCTTTTAATATTATATTTTAATGTTTCATTTTTTATTATGTTTCATTTTGTAACTCGCCTCAGGCAAGTTTCCCAGAGAGGCAGCATAACATTTTCCCAAACAATAAACAAAATAAATGTACCACAAAGAGAGACGATGCTAAACCCACATGTAGACTGTGTCACTTCAGACAATAAGTGAGGCTCCCTATGATGAAGCCTCTTTCACACAGATTTCAGAAAAAAACTAGTCTAGGCTCCTTCTCTCCAAAAAGCTAGCTTCTAAATGCAGGGGGTTGGGGGAGGGCACATGTGGATGAGCATTCCATCGTATGAGCCCCCACCAGTAATCAGCACAGTTATCACATCATTTGTGAGAACCACGTCCAATGTGCTTGAGAACTGTGAGGGACGGAAGTTAGAGGTTTTTTGGTAGTGAAAAAATCCCTATATTAGGAATCTTAGTTTAGGAGCTCTTGTAGTATATGTCTTTTCATCTTTAAGTTAGCTTTCAGGATACAAAGAAAGCTTGTTTACTTAAATGCACTTCTTTTCAAACTTACAGCAAAACTCAGGATGGGCTAAAGCAACGTGTAGTCTACTTTTTAACAATCTAGGACTCCTTGTGGTCTACAGCACATCCTTTGGATTCTCAACAGTTAAGACATGACTAATGAATCTGAATATGCATTTTTGCTTCAGAACATATAACAAAAGCACTCTGGCTGGATCCAACCAAGATCCACTTAGCCCATCATCTTTTGCAAGAATCCCAGCAGGCCCAAGGTGGTCCACTAGAAATTGGCTAGTTGTTGTGATCATGGTCTACCTTCTGCCCAGTCCAGGTTACAGCAATTTACTTGCAATATAAACTCATCCATTTCCAAGTCATACCTTTTGTTTTCTTAAATTGTAGTATCCTTTATTTGTTACCTGGACCTTCCACCTGAAAGAAAAAGTTTGTTACTTAACCTAATTGCACATAACCCATTTTTCCCCCAAATAAACCAAATGGCAACCCACCCACCTCCCAAAACCACAATAAAAGAAGAAGAAGAAGAAGAGAAGAGATTGGATTTATACCCCGCCCTTCACTATCCAAAGGTGTCTCAGAGCGGCTTAAAAGCTCCTTTCCCTTCCCCTCCCCACAACAGACACCCTGTGAGGTAGGTGGGGCTGAGAGAACTCTTGACAGAAACTGCTCTTTTTCAAGAACAGCTGTGCCAGAGTTATGGCTTGCCCAAGGTCATCCAGCCAGGTGCAAGTGGAGGAGTGGGGAATCAAGCCCGGTTCTCCCAGATTAGAGTCAGCGAACTTAACCACTACACCAAACTGGCTCTCCCAGATTACAGTCCGCACACTTAACCACTACACCAAAAGAGGCACCTGAAATGTTACAAAGATCACAGACTCAGCTCTGTGTCTTGCTGCATACTACAAAGTTCCTTCTTCAGAGGTATCTTTCATGTCCGCAACAGCAGATGAATGTAAGTACCATCTTCTGTCCATGCATGAGTGGGGACATGTCTTTTCACAGGTAGTGAGTACAGTCCCTTATAGGATCCCAGAAGTGAGCAAGCCCTTTAATGGACGTCACCTCTTTTCAGTGGGATCATTGGGACCTCACCCCATTTCAAATGCCAATTTCACAAAAACACCAGCACAGTTTGTGGGGAGGTCACATTTTGATACAATGCTGCTTGTCTTCAACCTTCAGAGGACAAGACAACCTTGTCAAACTAATTCTAACCCAAGCATCGTATGGAATTTCTCTGAACTGGATAGACCATTTCTTATCTGAGCTAGCCCCAGGTGGAGAAACTCCTGGGCACCATATCAACAACTGCAAGGATATTGTGGCTCCCTAGGCTTTTCCACTCCCACCCTCTTTCTAAGACTTAGTTCAACTGCCTTCAAGAGAACCCCGGCATCTTCATTCTCCTTTGTAAGAACACCTTCCTAAACCATGGAATAATGTAGCCATCAATGATTTAAAATCTCCTATATGAAATTACCAAGGGGAACGCCGGCACCTTTGACTGACATGCTGAGGTATGGTATTTTTTAAGATGGTATTTTATATTATTCTAGGCAAATTATTATTTTAATGTTATTTCAATTGTATTGTACAATTTAATTGTTGTACACCGCCCTGAGTCCATCTGGGGAGAGCAGTATATAAATCAAATAAATAAATAAAGGACATCATAACCCTTGTGAGTAACTGAACTTAACTCCCAGCACTGCCCTACTCCCCCTGCTGGTAAAGCTGCTTGCCAGTGTCTGCAATTCTGAAACAAACTTTGGCCTATCCTAGCCTTAATGTGCCTGATAAATTGTTCTTTACAGCCAATAGCACCAAACTGACGATATCTTTGCAGCAACTCCAAATTCATTGATGCAAACAGCACTTTTTTTTTGCTTTGGTATCTAGACAAACAGATGACCTATACAGTGTCTTTACTTGTCTTGGCAACCGACTGTATTTGCTTTAAGTTTGTTTCATGCCACAGAGACCATTTAAAATGATTATTACTTTGGAGCATGTTTAAGTCTAATAAATATGAATATGGAACCACGGATCTCATCCATGCTGGATTACTTGGGTCTTTAGTTTGTATTACCGGACACAGTATTTCTGTGATGACCTTTAGTTTTAAAGCTAAAGACTGACCAGGACATCATAAACTCCAGTCAAAATTCAAAGTATTGATCTTAATCGCGCTTAATAACTTTGGACCTCAGTGCTATGGAGACTGCCTTCAGTATGAACCACACCCACTTCCTCCATGTGCCTCAGTCATCTGACCAGGCCCTGTTGCGGGCACCTTTGTCTTCTGAAGTTCAGCATATGGCTGCAAAGAAGCAGGGATAGCTTGGTGGTAGTTCCGTTCTTGTGCCATTCTCTCTTGGCGAAGACACACACTCTTTTTTGGCATTTAATAATACGTTTCATCGTTCACCATCTATTGATTTAAGTATTTATATACTACCTCTCAAAGTCCAGGAGGTTACAAACATTAACACCCAAACAAAATCAAACAAAAACACAGATTCAATGGACTACCAATAAGGCTCAGACTAAGAGGTAACAGATGCTTTGATGGAAGGCACAAAAGCTATCAGTAGGAAGTATAATGGAAGGGCTCATCTGTCACTGGACACCTAAGGTCATCAAGTTAGTGCTCTATTGCTGCTGCATTTTTAATTCTTCTCGTGCTTTGTTAATGGCGCATATATTACTTACTATGAGTTTTGTTAGCAGAAGACCTACAGTTACTTAATGCTTTTTTTCAAATCCTATGGTTGCAGTAAACTTTACTGAAGGCAACTCTGCATGTATGAAATTCTTAGGTCTTGCTAACAGTTTTTAAATATTTAGATTTTTATGTTAATGAGAATACATCACCTGGATGTAAGGGAGGGGCCTATTCAATTTCCCCATTTGTACCTATTCACATAAATACAGAGTATTTATACTATGCACTGGAAACACCTAAAACCATTAAGATCGTGCTGCAATTTTATAAAGGGGGCAATGCTACACTGGTGCTATTGTCTGTGCTGGAAGGTCTGGCTTAATACTGAACTGCCAGGCTTCTCTAAAGCTGCTTACTAAGTGAGTCTCTGATCTCTAATCACCACAAGCTCTGCTTCCATCTGCAGTGGTTGCTGTGTCTCTGCACGACCCCTTGCCCTTACAATGGCTTAACTGGGGTTCTCTTGCTTACTGCTCCTCTCTTTAATCTCTTTTACAGTGCAATTAGAATTACTGGTAACAGAACAATGTCTATTGCCAGTAACTAACTCTTAATGCAGACAGTGAAGCAGAGCCATAGAACTGAATCCAAGGGATCCTTTCCTCTAAGCACAGAGCCTTCCTGCAGGGCAGGGAGCTTCTGGGGAAACACACCTCTTCCACTGGAAGAAGTCTTCACTGTTAAGAGAACTGGACCTTCGTCTCCAGCCCACTATTAATTAGGCACAGAATTCAGGGTTCAATATATAATATCAGCGCCCTGACGTGAAACACACAGATACTTTTTGCTTTGCAGCTCACCTGTCCAGCTTGCTTCCATCAGCCTCCATGACATTACGTAGGATGTGCTCCACAGGGACCTCTCCAGCATAGCCAGCACCCCAGCCCAGGGTATTAGACAGGTCATTGCCCGTTCCCAAGGGCAAAATTGCAACCTGTGGGACATACCGCTCTTGCCCCTGCCAGACAAAAGAACTCAGCTTTCAAAAGCTATCGATGTTACAGAGCTGTTTGCTCCTCAACCTTCTTGTGTTTAATCCTGGAAGGTTAAAGGCTGCTTAAATACTATTAACTGAAAACCTGCTTCAAGGGCTATTATTAATGGCCCAGCTGGAAGTCTAACAAGAGCAGATTGCAGAGCTACGTACTAATGACAGAAGAGTAAAGAGAACAGAGCTTGCAAGAGGAAAGCTGTGTACAGTTACATACTGTTCTGAGTAACCAACAGAAATACAGGGGATACATAATGATATGGCACAGCTCACTCTTGTTAGACCTTGGAAGCTGGATGGGAGACCACCAAGGAAGACTTTGCAGAGGAAGGCACTGGCAAATCAGATCTGCTTCTCACTTGTCTTGAAAGCCCTTCACTGGAGTAACCATAAGACCCCTTGAGATCTCCAAATGTCGGGAGTATTTTTACCCTAGCATGCTGTAATGCTCTACCTTCAGCCCTTCTGGAAGGCAGATGCCATCGTGTCCTGCTCCCTCAGTGGCTTTGCCCATGTCATACAGGGGAAAGTAGAGTCTATTGAACATGTTCTGCTGCACTGCCCATTCTCTAACATCATCCGATCAGTATATTGCTCCAATTCTCTCAACCATACTGGGAAGATCTGAACAACTGTATGTCTTCCTCCTCCTTGCTGAGTCCTCTCAGAAAATAACTTACAAAGTTGCCAAATTTTGCCTGTGGGCCTGTGGGATAGGCAAACGGCTGATTTGAGTACCAGCGAGTGCCAGTAATTCTGCCTGTTTGCGGAGGATATTGCTTTGTCTCCCCTCTTAATTTGTGTTCATTGTTTTGTGCTTCTCACATTTCACGTGTTTTTCCTTTTATCAGGGAGCTGATCTAGCACCAAAATAAAGTTTACCGTATAGGTTGCAACCAATGCTCCCTCTAAGCTGTGGAGTCTTGTGAGCAAAAATTCTACTTTGTGAGCTACTGGCATTAAAGTTGTAAGCGAGTGATTTGGCTACTGCATACATTGGTTTGCTTTGGAGCCATCCTTCCTGAGCTAAGACAAAAATGTGTGAGCCGGAGGCTAAAAAACTGTGAGCTCACACTAACTCAGCTTAGAAGGAACACTGGTTGCAACTTGACGGCACTTATGTATGTAACAGAAATACAAAACACACCAGAAAGTTATTGGAAAGGGGAGCTTGACCTTGCTACACAGAGGAAGCCTGCAGTAGGGATTTTCGAAGTGGGAAAAAAGGGCCTCCCAATGACAAAAATCCCAACACAACATTTCCGATGCCAGGCCAGGCGTCAACCTGAGAAACAAGGAAAAAGAGCAGACTTCTGCACCTGAAGAGCACCTATCAGCATCCAGGAGAGTAGCTGCAGTGTCAGGGAAGCCTGGGTTTAAACTCTCACTCGGCTGTGAAACAAACTGGTTATTGCGAGTATAAAGTACATGTGTGTTTTGGGCTGGGACGGGGACTAAGGACCATGTACACCAACCTAAAGTCCAGGACAAGATTAAAAAACACTAACAAATAACTAAATGCTTCAGGGCCAGAAGCTGGTACAAACCGAACACCAAGTCACTAGAATAATGAACTTGCGGACGAGACTGAAAAAGAGGCACACGGAAACGCTATACCTTGATCTTCATGTCATCAATTGCATCCAAGACCCAGCCCACAGTGCCGTCTCCGCCACAGACAAGGATTCGAGCAGAATTGAAAGGCAGCCAGGAGCAAAGCTGAAGCGCTTTTGCAGGGGTCGTTTTGGTTAGATCAAAAATCTGCATGGAGGAAGAGAAGGGGAGCTTATCCTTGCTGCCCTAACAAATATTGCATTTCATAGGCTGAACATCCTCTTCAAGAATGCAAAGTTATGTTTCACTATACAAAATGGTCAACAAAGTTAGTCCTTATACACAGTTTAAGTCTATGTGGCAACACTCAATTGTCACATTTTAGGAGACATACTGGGGGTGGGTGGGGCATAAAATAAATCAGACCATCCCTTAAAGAACTTCAAGATCTCGGTTCGCCCAGATTGAAAGAATTGGGTTCAAGACTGAGAAGAAGAGAGGTACAAGTTTGAAAAACAGGAAGCAAAAGAACAGAAGGTTTCTGTCAGAGTCTCCTGTAACATTCCCCCCAGCCAGGCTCAAGTGACAGAAAAGCTGCAGCTATTTTCCAAAGCAAGCTGAATATTTTAGCAAAGCTTTGAAGAATAAAAATATACAATTTTTCTAAGAATGCCCAAGAGACTGTGTCTGTCGCCTCTCTTCTTAAACACCTCTCAGATTTCCAAGCAGGAGTTTGCACTGATATTTATTATTTATTTGTCGTATTTCTAGCACGCCCTCCCTGCTTGAAGCTGATTGAAAAATCGAGTTGTAAGATGGGTCTTGCTGCAGGGACTTTTGAACCCAGTCAAGTTGTGGCCATTCCGCAATATTCCTGCAAAGGAGGTTATCCCAACAACGCTGCAGCATTCAAGCTACAAGTGTTGAAGGAATCGCAGTCTGTGCAGTTGTTTGGAGGCAAAATTTGTTCTTGGGGGTTTGGGACACTTCTCTGCTGGCCACTGAGCAAGATTTAATGGGGGGGGGGAGGTGGCAAAGAAAGGAGACGTTCACCGACATAGCAAAATTGAGGGAAGAAGAGTAGCTGTGTTACTATCATCAATGATAAGCCAATGAGCATTTTATGCCTTTGACAGTTAAACAACAGCATCCATACCATGTTTCTAACGACTGTATGTCATCTATTTACCTAGGCACCGGATACAAAATGATCCACCTTGCCTCTCAGTAAAACGCAATTGTCATTGTTATGAAAGCAGGATCTCAGCAAAATGTGTGCAGACTGGACGACGGACACACAATTCTCACACACATGCAGATACTTTAGATGCAACTCCATGACTGCTTGGCCACTGCTAAAACAAGAGTTTCCAGGCCTCCCAAGGCTCAGAGTTGCAGAAGGTAGAGCATGAGAGCTCAAGGGAGCAGAGCCCATCCTTAAGGGCAAAGCAAGCCATGGTTCCTGGTTTATCATCCATGCAGGATTATTACCTTTCCTATGATTTCCCAAAATACGATTTATTATGATGTCCTCATGGCTGCTTTTCAAACCACCCTGTCCCACAGAAAGCAAAAAACTGAGGACTGGTTGAATGTGACGCTTCAGAAAGGCCAAGATAGGCCCTGCCCACTTGGCTTCTCGCATTGAGATTTATTAGCTCCTTGTCCTGGGAACTCTGAGAAAGAAGCCAACAGCCAGAAACCTGGGGGACAAGACCTTAACTGTTGCATCTCAAACTAAAACAGCACAATTACCTGAACTGAGTTTAGCAAGATCTTAAATTGTCCCAGCAACGTTTCACCCATATTGTTCCCGCTCCGAGTATTAGCCAGGATTATTAATGGAGTCCAATGTTGTCCGTAGGAGGAAGCTAACTGCAAGAAAAAGAACAACAGCAAATTCTTACAATTTTATCTGAGTAGAAAAGCAGAGGAACAGAGGCTTTGATCTCTTCTCCTTTTCCTTTAAACTGTTTGGAAGCTCACCAATTATGTAAGGGAGACGTTCTGTGCTGGTTGTAAAAAGAATAAGAGTTACATAAAAACAGCTTTGCAATTTGCACCGTACGCTCATTTTCCAATTCAACACTAAACTGAAGGGTTAACGCACACACCCATGGCCTGTTTTTTTGTGTGCTTTAATATTAGTCATTTTTTTTAAATCATGAAAAGATTCCAAGACTAGTGAAATAACTGTTTTAATTTTGATGCCAAATTGCTGCAAATAGCAAACTAGCTTTTCAGTTCTTCCAGAACTCTTCATTGGGTTTTTTTTGGGGGGGGGGGGATAGAAGAAAGAGATGTTTCAGGACATGCTGAAAGTTCAAAGGCTTCTTTGGATATTTCAAGTAGCTATTATTATTATTATCAACTTTTCAAAAATAATTTTGGTGTGTTAGTTTAGTTCACTTATTTTTTCAAAACACCAGAACAGATTAGGGTTGCCATCCCCCCGATGTGGGTGGGGTTTTCCCCATCTTGGGAGCCCTAATCTGCTGCCAGCCAGCTGGCCAGTGGGGGGAGCCTTTCCCCCCAAAAGCCCCATCTCACCCGATGTGATGACATCACCCAGACGCTCTAGCATTTGGTGACCAGAAGACCCTGTGAGCCAGGCTGAAGCCCCCTGCCAGGACACAGGGAAGACCTAGCAACACTAGACCAGGCAACAGACCTTACATTGCGGTCCAGAGGACCTCGGTCAGATTCATATCCGGACTGCTTGATGTTATGGAGATTTAAGTGTGCAACAAGTGGGATGGAATCTGTATCTAGATGGCAACATTTGTTGAAGTCACATTTGAAGATTTGCCAAATGATACATTGCAGTCATGACCCATTCGGATGCATTTGCTAGATGCATTTGCTAGATTTGCTAAGTTCAACATACCAACAACCTCTAAAAGGAAATACATTTGGATGGGTGTGAGAATGGACCCCTACACAGCAGTGTAAGCCTACCTCTCCTACTAATTAATAAATGTGCCAATAAGGGGCAACATGTCTCTTACATCTTATCTTGCAATGAATTTGTAACTGTAAAGTCTGCAAGAAGCCCCATGGTGGCATAGCAGGAAAAAAATGGTGGGAAAATTGCACTGTGAGGGGCTGGCAGTGGGGAAAATGGTGCAGATGCAGGCAGGATCATTTACGGGGAATGAAAATGCAGGCCACCGTTCCTTCCAGACAGCAAGATATTGTGCTTGGACAATGTTCCTTTAAAAAAGATGGGAGCAGAGCGGGCTTGGGAAAGAAAATGTTTAGGAAATGTTCAGGAACACCTAGAAAGAGACTGTTTAGAGCACGGTGTTATGTGGATGTCCCTCAAAGAACCCCCCAAGTTTGGAAAGCATATCTATTCTTTATTCACCTTGCTCTTTGACTGGTATTACTTTAGATGGGATTTAAGATTTTACTTCAGGATACAGTGGGAAACTAAAAGCAAGTGAATCATAAAATTGTCTCACAGGCCACTGGATCCAAGGACAAAACTACAATCCAATTTTTGTTTTGCAATCCTAAATTCATCAAGAATCATGTCTATAGTCCCACTGAGTGCAGAGTGTTTTGCGACCCCTATTTCAATCGTTTTCACAACAACCCTGCAAGGACTGCAGCACTGTCATTTTACAGATGGGGAACCAATTCACATGAAAGCATGTCTTGGCCACAATGACTAATGAGTTCATATACAAGCTGGGATCTTCTACACCAGTCCACAACACCGCACTGATCTTAAGCAAGTTCCTTTGAAATCAACAGGTTTCGTTCAAAGTCCACACACCAAGCATTATGATTAGCTTTATGGCATTCTCCAAAGCTAGATGAGTTTGAGAGAGGTTTAAAAAGCCAGGCAACACCAAGAGCATTCATGCCGGGCATCGATCAGCCTGTTCCCACTTCCACTTCCAGCAGTTGTCTTACATTTTAATGTTTTCCTGGATTCACGTGCCATCTTTTCTTTTCTCTCCAATTTAAGGTTGTCTGTACTAACCTGAAGGCAAACATCACAAGAAAGCAGTGTTCCTATGCTTCAAGAGAAACCCAAGCAGGTAAAGAATACAGTTTCTAAAAACCCCATATGGATCCAATGCTTCCCACACATCCCATCTGAGGCCTGATTTGCATATGCAGGAGGAAGTAAATACTAAAGCAGCAGAACAAATTGCACCACTTTGGCACAGAGGTGATAGATTTTCATTTGGAAAGCTACTTTGCATTGACAAAAAACCCATGCAATCAAAAACTAGTATAGCAGGAATAAAGTTTCTACCCTTCCCCCCACCTTTCCCCTGCTTTCTTTGCTGGTTTTTGTTTGCAGGGAGTTAACATAGGAGCATGTTCCAAAAGAGGATTCTCTACTGGTAGTCTGAAATGATGCAGTCCATTTTACCACTTCATTTCTTTGCAGAGAGGATACCTTGCAGACATCTGTAGATACTTCAACCGATATTTTAAAGAAAAAATGCTTTGAATAAATAACTATCAGATGAAGGAAGACATTTACATAAACACCCTCACCACAGGAAAAGCATCCACAGATTAGGATGAACACGCAAAGCAGCTGTCACGCTGGTGAAGCCCAAGTAATCCTTTAAATTCCACAATTCACAGGTATACAACAGAGCAAGGCTTACCTTGCCGTAGTCCATTTTCTTGTCTTTACGCATCTGACTGACACTGAACAAGTAATAGGGTGGGATAATTAAGTTGCGAAACTCTCCCAAATTACAGGTCTCGTTCTTCAAAGAATTTTGCATACATTCATCGTGCACAGTGTGCTGGCACCAAATGCACCTGAAGAGAAGAGGAGAAGAGTTCAGAGGGCTGCTGTGTATTGCAGGGCTCTTCTTTTCAAGGGGGGAGTGAGGGGGGGAGTGGGAGAGGGAGATATCAGGCTGCAGCCAGCACAGAGCTGTAATTAATCAGGAAATTCTCTACCACCCAATTATTTCTTACAGCTCACAAGCAGCCATATGGGTTTTGGCTGATACAACTGATCATCTGTTCTTTGCCAAAAATGACATGCTCTGTTCATGTCTGTGCTGTGGTTCAATATTTCCATCCAAGCATAAATCAAGAGACCAGTTATGAATTACAAAGCATCAAAACGGCAAGGGCCCAACATACCCAAACCTTGCTGTCTCCCTCAACAATAGCACCCAGTCTTTAGTTTTGGTTAGCAAGACCACGATAAGAACAGTTTCCACCCACTGCCTCATAACTTTCATTTTTTAATCCCACTTCTTCTCCAAGGAAGGAGGTCTGGAAAGTATATAGAGTGTTCCTTCCCCAAATTTTACCTTCGCAACAGCCATGAGAGGGAGGTTAGAATGAAAAAAACCCCCAGTGTGGCAGAGCAGCTGTTAGCATTTCAGATTAGACTCTAGGAGATCCAGGTTCAAATCCCCACACTGCCACGGAAACTTACAGGATGACCTTGGGCCTGTGACACATTGTCAGCCTACTAGACTGCTAGACCCGGTGCGGTTCAAATCCAGGATTTAACAGTCAAAATTCAGCATCCTCGCCATTTTACCCAAATGGTACCCACTACAGGGAGTCCAGAAATCAAGCCCAAGTACTTTTTGGAAGCACTGCAAGCCTTATCTGCTTGAGCTGGCCCTTGGGGCTCAGGGCTCGTGCAGGCACGTGCGATTGCATTTTAGGCTGTTTTTCTGCCTTCTTTTCGTCCAGTGAGAGCCTTCAAGATACTGTATTTGCATCCTTTCTGGTTGTTGTTGTTCAGTCGCACAGTTGAGTCCGACTCTTCGTGACCCCATGGACCAGATCACGCCAGGCCTTCCCGTCTTCCGCTGTCCTCTGAAGTTTGCTCAATTTCATGTTCGTTGCATCTATGACACTGTCTAACCATCTCATCCTTTGCCGTCCCCGTCTTCTTTGACCTTCAATCTTTCTGGTACAGCTACCTAAAAAGTGCACATCTATTAGATCATTTCTTGTGCTCTGTTTCAAAAAGTGAAAGGTGTAGGCAGTTTTACAAATGCCTCTCAATCAGTATTTTCAGTGATAAAATGCTTTGTATATAGATTATGGTTATTATGCCAAAAGAAATGTTAAGACTAGAGGAAAATGCAAGCCGTTACCATGACCAGGAAAGCCATATGCTGATCTGTTAATCTCTTACCAACATTACATCCTCAAATAGTAAACAGAGAGAGAGAGCAAGAGACCAGGTATAAATATCTTTCCTATGCAGGAAAGACTTGGGTGTTCTTTGCTGGAAAAGGCACACTGCGTACTTTGGTACAAACTTATTAATATTAAAATATTGCAAAATAAAGTGAATGAGGTCCTTAATTCAAGACGAATAGTCTGAGCTATGAAGAATCTTTTAACTCTATCTTAGCTACAAACATGGAAGTTCATTTGGAAGGCTCATTTGAGAGGGGGCATCCAGAAACCCAGGAGGAACCATTCCAGTAAGCAGATGCCTTAATATGTTGCCAGTGGACAACATATGTCCCAGCAGGTGAAAGTGGCACCTTTTAGGACTTACAGCTGGGATTTTGGGGAGGGGCAGGGAATGAGTGGGGCTATTATTCAGCACGGGAAATAAAGAACTATACAGTTTAATTTTTTTTAAGGTGAATGATCGGCTCCTAGCTTCATGACCGAACAAGGATTTGAACCAGGATCTTCTAGGTTCTAGTCTGACACTTCTACCACTAAACCACACTAACTGTCTCAAGACTAAGTTGAGGAGGAGGACTGGGTCCACATGATTTTGAAGATTAGTACTTAAATTGGATATATTCAAGCCCCGATGCTGTACCACTGAAGCAAGACCAAGATTCCAGAAAAAAGTTGGGAGGGGTGGAGGGGGAAATAGGATGTTTAAACTCCTATTATCCAAGTACAATTCCAACCTGAACACAAGATTCAAAAAGCCTTCAACTACTATTTATAGTGCCCTCCACACTAATCCATCTCAAAATGAGATCAGCAGTGGTGCATTCCACAGAGCTAGAGAGGCACGGGTTCTGAATAAATGGTTGGTTCAAGAATAAGACATTGACCTTTCAACAACACATAGATTCTCTCTTATTGTGGTACACAGAAACCTTATTGCATAACATATCCCCAAACCACTTTGACATATAAAAATCTGCTACGAAGTCTGTTAATAAGCCTGGCTGCAGGCTTCATCAGCATATCCCAAGTACTAGAGATAATATTTATACAAGCATCCTGTGTTGATTTACTTTGAGCCAGGGCTCAGCCCAGGAACCTGCTTCCAGAATTAGTGCTCTGCTCTAAAGTATGCTAGTTAATAACAAAAAACGCCTTTGCATATGCACAGAGTGCCGTTTCCTTACAACTAAGTAACCACAGCTCATTTCTTCACATCTGGGATTCAGGGCATGGCTTCTAGGCACCTGTGGCTTCTAGGCAGACTTACACCCCAGCAGTGCTGACTTGGTTGACTTCTGAAATGCCCACCTAACTCAGAGATGGTGTGGATGCAAGTGAAAAGAACCACCACAGCTACAGTCACCCTGCCCTCTGGCACATCTGCTCTTACCAACATATTACAGAGGAGTTTTTACATGCAACTATGGCTTTGGAAACTATTACAAGGATACTGGGGGGGGGGGCAGATAGCTGTCACAGTATATTCTACTCCAAAGAGCTTTCTTCATGTGCCTGTCACAACACTTGTTATTTAAGAGCACAGCATCCCCTTTCTCAGGATATGACATGTACTGAAGTTCACAGTATACTATACAACAACCCAATATACTAGACCTATTCCTTGGCATATATAGGCATGTTTGAAAGATACCAGAAGTGTTCCAAAGGCAGCCTTTCCCAGTGTTGGTTTATCCTGAACACCTCAGACTATGAAACCACCACTAAATCTAAGGTAACAGCAAATGAACATGTCTTGGGAGGTGGGGGGAGACAATCAAAGCAATTTTTTTTGTAAAAAAAAGAGACTTCCCATGCACTCAATTTTTCCTCCTCCTATAAAATAGGGAGTTCTAGCCAGGGTTCTACATGTGTCCCTTCCATACCAGACACAAAATTCAACTTCTTGAGAATTTCCACATTGATTTTTTTAAAAGCAGATTTCTAGTTTTTATGACTAGATTGCTAGCCAGAAATCATGTAAGCAATGCTTGTTGAAATCAAGAGCCATAGGAGTTGCTGAATTATATTTCCAGTGGGGGTGGTGGGATCAGCACTCCTTCATGATTAGCAAAACCGAAAGCAAACATGCATTTATGCCGTACACACATTTGCATACTGTATCTTGATTTGCCTAATTATTGCATTTTAAATTTTATTTATAAGAGACTAATCAGCCCCCCCCCCCTGCAAAGAAGCCCCAAAAGCAGCACTGACGGGCCCTTAGCATAGAACTTGGGATAGCTTGGGAGCAGAATTTCTTAGTATAATGAATGCGCATTCCTGGCAATGACTTACCTGCACATTTATTCAAGGATAGGCAGAATAGCCATCTGCCACCTCCCAAACTAGCATTTGCTACACAGTCTTTTGCCCCTCCATGCCTCACACATTAGAAAGATGATAGCATCTACACATAAGTGGTCTGGTTTTTGCCCACTAGGAGTAACTTAGGGCCATAAATCAAAATTATGATTGTCAAACATTCTATATATATTGGCATCCCAATATCAGATATTTATGCCAGCATACCTATATATTACTTTAGTTTAGTGCCAGGTTTTGCAACATTACACTGGCACAGTCACAGATGCAGTGATCAAGACAGCATCCAAATTACATCCCACAATGACGTTTCTCAGTAGAATCTGCTTTCTGGAAGGTTTGTTTATGATGTGAATGGAAAGGTGAAATCCCAGCAAGCTCCCTTCTGGATCTGTCTGAGGCCTGACATATCTATGAAAATCCCTTGAAATGTCACCCATGGGTATCTACAGAGAAGCAGCACTTCCCAGGGCCGGCTGAAAGATGGCATAGGTGCTGCATACAACCTAGGGCAGGGTTGTCTTTTCCTTCAGCCCCCAGGTACAAACACATCTAGGCAAACAGGCTTTTTGAAGTTTATGGGGCCATTCCAAAACCATGAACTGGTGCACAGTGGCTGGAAAACTGGCATCTGGATATCCTTCCTCAAGGTTATCAGCTAGCATTTCAGTTTTATATTGTGGGTGTTTACACTAGTGATTAAGCACCATATATGATGACTCCATAAGGGGGAAAGAAAAAGGCCAGTCTTATTATAAAACATTTTAAAATCCCATCCCTTGCACTCATTCCTCTAGCTCACATTGCAGAATGTCATCGTGACCGAGGCTGCGCGCATTCCAATGAACGCGCCACCCAGTAATTATCACTCAGTAGTCTTCATCTTTCCCCCTCTCCCTATTTAAATTAAATGGAAGTAGTGCCATAATTTCAAGTCTCGATAATGTTAATCAGGTCCTTTGTAATCAGGTTTAACCCCTAACGCTACACCAGAACTCTCCAAACCCTACATGCGTAACTGCCATTGACCAAAAAAATAAGAGCTGAAATGGATTTCTTCTTCTAGTTGAAGAGTACACTGCTCATAGTTTTTGAGATGATCAACACAGAATCCCTACAAAAACAGCCATTTATATACACAAACAACGCATACATCAGCTGGCACTATGAACAGCATCCTTAAGAAATAAGAGGAATCTATCTCAGAATTGCAATGAGATAAGATCACTGCTTGCTGTAAATATACAGCAGGTGTACTGTACAAACATGACTGCAAAATAAATGTCCAGATGATCTGCACGAGGAAACTGGCTTTTAGGGTAATAAAAACACCTGTGCCCAATGGTGGTGGTGGTGGTGGGGAAAGAATTCCAATGATAGTTTCACATTCTTATATCTGATGAATTTTGCTCTTAGAGAGTCACTCCATTGAAATCTTACTTGGAGCCCCTCAGCATCCTGTCTCCCTAGTTATGCCAGCTCCACAGCAAATAAGAATGGTATCGTAACAGAAGCAAAGACAGTAATCTTAAACTAAACCAGATACCTGCCACCAATGGCACTTGTGGGGAAAAGGTCAAGCCCATGTCAGAGGCTTGAAGCACCTAATTAGAAAGTTAGGGAACGTGCATACAAACGACTAAAAAATAAGACTGAACCACATATTATATAAATAGTCCCAAATTGGCTTGACTTCTGGAAATGGCGGTACAATCATAAGTAATTTTACAGCTTTTTAAGTCCACTGACTTCAATCAATTTTGAAAAGTGCAGCTCTGTTTAGGATTGCCCTGGAACGGTCATAAAAATGGTGACTCATATAGTGCTTCACAGACATGTTTGCTGTCTTGCATGCACTGCGCAAGTCGCTCAAACAGTACATTAAGTGATAAGGGAAAATAAGGCAAGTGATTTTTTCAACCATATCTCAATAAGCCAACATGGTTTCTCTCTGTGGCCTTATATGCAAAGCCAGTCCATTTTTTACCAGATAGCCTTTGCTGCTAAATGTTAATCATTAACAATCAATGCCTTAAGAAGAACAAGACAACAAACTTTTTTTCAGTTTGGTAAAGATTCCCTTCACAGTTACCTGGAAGCAACACTTGCTACTAGGAACCAGGTGGGTGCACCTTTATAAGCTAGGAATATGCCTCTTGATAATCTTAAGAAAAATGCATCTTCTCTCCCCAAAATTTATATACAAAGGTATTTTAAAGCTGCTAGAAGAAGCTCTTGCACAACATTCAGTGTCAACAAAGTCAACAAGAACATCTTACATGTTCTCCAGAAACAGTTAGGGGAGCCCAAAACTTAGGAAGCCCTAGACTCTTTCATCTTCATGTACAGAAACACAAAGAAGCAGCAGTCTTTGGCAGACTGGAGACATTGTGATGGGATATAAAGAAGGTGATGGCCACTAAAGAGCACCTTGAACAAAGAAAGCTACAGGAAATCAATGCAGACAACAAAGAAAGGTGTAGCACATTTGTGCACTGGACCCCTGTTGTGTAACAGCAATAATCTACACAGCAATCTTCAAGAGGAGACCTCCAAAAGGACGTATTACGGTGGTCGAGTCTTGGGTGCAAATACCTGGACACAGTACTTCTACCATAACACTGTGATCACATTTGTATCCTTAGCATTACCTGTAATCACAAAGCTTGGGTTGATTGCCACACTGCTGGTTGCACATGACACAGTAGCTGCACAGCGGGACATTGCCTCGGATCCAGCGGTGCATCATAGAGACCCCACCTTCACCCCTCATCATGATCTCCTTGCAGAGGAAACGACGCTCAGCCTTCTTGAGGCACCCTTCATCGACACACAGCCCACAGCAGTTGCAGAAAGCTCCCTGGAGAATATGCTGAGAGCAGATGCAGCAGTAGGTGGGCTGGCTAAAGAGGTCCACATATTGCCAATCATGCTTGCTTTTGCGTACGATGTCCTGTACCAGCCCTTGCCTCCGTGATCGCCGAAAGCTGCACCACAAGGTGATAAGTATTGGTACAATGATCGAGCAAAGAGTCCAAAAGGCCAAACTCCGTTCTGCCAACAGTCCTGAAGAAGGGATCAGTCTGCTGCTTTTGCCCTTGTCCATCCTCTATTGATTTACTCTCTCCTCTATAAAGGTCAAACAAAAGACAGGGAGGTAACTTGGGGTCTTATAGGCCCAACAGGATGACTGCTGATATAATCGCATTCTCCGACTGGTTAGTTCACAGTTCAATATGAAGTCACCATTAACAAAATTCATTTCAACAATGCCACTGTCTTAATCTCTATGACTATCATTGCATATCACCTTAACGGTCACTCCCTCATTAGGCCTCACACTACAAGTCTCATCTTTTGTTTTTTATTTGCACCTTTATGCTACTGATGCCTTGCCATCACTATATGATATGTATTAGCACTTTATGTAGTGTTTTTATGTTTATATTTATATTTTCATCCAATTCTCTGTTTTATCTGTTTATAAAACTCTATGTAAGCTACCCTGAGCCTGCTTCAGCAGGGAGGGTGGGATATAAATTAACTAAATAAATATTTGTGGCTAAATTAAAACACATAAACATCAGTTTCCTGAGAAGAAACACACTGTTCTGCTCAAATGCCTTAGAAAGGATGGTAAATTACTAGAACTATGACAAAACAGCAATTTACCACAAAAGCTGAAGATACAGCCAGAGGACTCTGCTCACTATCTGGCTATAGTGCATTTGTTTCCTGTTTTAGCAAAAAAACTGATACAAAGCCTTACTGACAAAAGCAAATTAGATCAGACAGCCCTACTCTAGATTACACATACACCCCTCTAAAAATACAACACAGGCCATTTTTAAATCCATACTAACTAGTCTTAAGTATACTAGGGCCCCGGTCAGACGTGCCGGAAAATGCGTGGGGGGGGAGCGCGGCTATTTGCGCCATTGCAGTCTGATGCGCTATTATGCGATCAGATGCAACAGCGGCTTCCCCACAGCAAAGAGGACGACGGGGGAGGAAGCCACGCACCGGCGCGATCACACCGGGAGGCTTCCATAGGCGGCCCGTGGCAAAGTGTTTGCCACTACCTTAGTTGAGGTAGTTTTTTAATGCATGGTTTCGGCGGGTTGCCACGGGTTCGCCACAGGAGTGCTACACCTCCCAGATGTTCCAGTGTGATCGCGTCCGGATACTTCGCGGGACTCCCGTGCCGTCAGCGGGGCAAATGCTCCGTGTGAACGGGGCCCTAGTAATGTAAGAAACAAAGTTAATGATGACCAGTTAAATTACCCCTTAACACACTCACAACCACGATGGCACAAGGGTAGATTCTGCCCACTTTCAGTGTGCATTTGGGCATGCTGTGTCACTTCTAATCCACAAGGGCAAAACCAAAGAAGAGGAACTGCAGCAACTCCAGATTAAGTCACCTGAAATCAAACCAGCAAAAATAACAGTGAGCCTCAGAACAACTTAAAAAACATAATTTTATTCCAGCATAAGCTTCTGTAGACTTGAGTCCTTCAGACACAACACAGCAGCTCTTCATGAAGCTACCCTTTTATGTAGAAGATATGGGAAAATGCCAAAGAATAAGGTAAACACAAGATGCACAGGGTGAAATATAAGTATGCAGTATTCAGTTAGGTCAGAAACAATGCCCTCTAAAAATAAAGCAAAACCTTCAGAAACAAAAATCAGGTTTATCCTTGAAAAAAAAATCACCTTAAGAAAGTCACTCCATCTCGCAACTGGGATAGCCACAACTAACGTCATTCAGGGCTACTACTACTCCGCAACTAGATATCAACTGGGATAGCCACAACTAACGTCAGGGCTACTACTACTCCGCAACTAGATAAATACTTCATCTCCAAACCCTTGTTCCTCCCACCCTTTGACGTAACTACCCTTCATGCAGACAGGGGCAGTTATAACCCTCTTCAAACGGGCCACACTCCTGGATCACCACCAGCAATACAGCTACTGCCCAACTAACAGCAACGACGCAACGCCCACCCCCATCCCTCATGCCAAACGGTCCCCGCCTCCCGTCCACCGCCCTACCACGAATCGCTGCAGGTACAATCGCGCCCGGCGGGAGGCAATGGACGAGCGGCGGAAACGGAAACCGCAGACGCCGTCTGGTACAGAAAAGAGGAGGAGCAGCGGCAGCGGGGAAGCCGCTGATGAGGGTTGCTAGGAGACAGGTAACCAATCGCAAGCCTCCTGTCGCAGAAAGAGGTTGGACTAAAGATGCTGGAAGTCGCAAAACGGAGGAACGCCGATGAGACGGCGATAGTACGGGCAGACGGATTCTGTGCGTGTTTACTCATGACCCACGTGGTCTGCAGTATGGCTATCAATGGACACAGGGTTCCTCAGTCAAAGCTTAAGACACAGCTAAGTCGGTGCTGTTGTGAGTGTATGTTTGATTACGTATGCATTTTACAGACTTAGGTCCAATGCTCCCTCTAAGCTGTGGAGCCTTGTGAGCAAAAATTCTACTTTGTGAGCTACTGGCATTAAAGTTGTGAGCGAGCGATTTGGCTGCTGCATAAATTAGTTTGCTCTGGAGCCATGCTTCTTGAGCTAAGACAAAAATGTGTGAGTGAGCTGGATTCTAAAAAAATGTGAGCTAGCTCACACTAACTCAGCTTAAAGGGAACACTGCTTAGGTCTCACTCTGTTTTCTGCGTTTTGTCACCCTCTGACTCTGATATGTGTGTGTCTGTGTATATATACACAGAGGCACACACACACATTTGCACATCTAGCTAGCTGTCTGTCTTTTTATACCTCATACATAAATGTCTGCCCAGGGAGGAACTACTACATGCATCTGACAAATGGACTCTTGTCCACAAAAGCTTATGCTAGAATGAAAAATTTCTTAGTATTTAAGATGCCACAGGACTTCTATCACTTTCAGGCATAGGATTGTTGCCCTAGTGTTTCTATGAGCACCGCATCTATATTATCTTAGGAAATCATTAAAACAACCCTGAAATAGTTAAAAAATGGGACCTCTGAATTTCAGGCAATGTTCCACTTTGCAGCTACTGTGTCGTTTGGAAACAGCAGTATGGCACTCCAGCCAACCTGTGTGATCACAAGTAATGCCGAAGATATAAATGTGATGGCAACATTGAGGTAGGTAGCAATAGTATTTGTGCCCAGGGCTTGACTATCATCAGGGGTCATTCCGTAGAAAAAGAGGTGCAGGAGCTCATTAGCATAACTCATTAGAATAACTCATTTGCATATGCCACACCCCTGACATCACCGGAAGTGTGTCAGAAGGCAACACCCACCGCTCAGGCTCCACTAGACTGTTTTGGATTGCTAGCTATTGCGGGGGGGGGGGGGACCTGCAGATCTGTCCTCACAGGGGAGGGAGAGCTTGTACCTGAATAAAACCTGGTCTTAAAGGTGCCACTGGACTGTTTTGGACTGGGGGGCCGGGGAGGGGGGCTCTGCAGCTTACCTGGCTGCTTCTTGCTCTGACTGAGGACTGCTGGGAGCAAGGGGTGGGGCTTGTTGCATGTGCCCGCCCCCTGGCCTCTTTACTGCTGGAGCTCTGCTCCTGTGCGCTCCTGCAGAAAATGACCCCTGACTATCATAATATGTCCTTTGTAGGTGTTCTCTTGGAGATTCTTGTGGAGGTTATAATTGTTATACAACGTGACTTGTTGCTTCCCAGTGCTCAGATGTGATACATTGGTTCTCCATGGCTTTCTGTAGTTATCCATGCTGAAGGTGCTCTTTATTTTTTTAGTGACTGCCATCTTCTTCATTTCCATCATGAATGTTCTATTCTTTTCTTCAAAATCCCCTGTACAGCAGACAAAATATGGCGAGTTCTACGCTTCAAGAGGCAATCTTCGGCTAGAAGTGAAAGTAAGGGTGTGATCACACTGACGGCTTGGCATGATATGGCGCTGCCTCTAATTGTACCTGTTTAAAATGTTGTGGGGCATATCATCCAGACAGACAACCAACCCTGCTGTGGGTTACCCATGTCATGTGGCTGTCCCCTGGTCAAGCATCCACATTACTGCAGCACCTCAGCCGCGAAACATGCTACCTGGTCATTTTTAAAATGCAGGTGGGCGCATATATGCTCACGTGCATGCACATGCGCTAAAGCGTGTGCACATGTGCATATGAGCTCATGCACACGTGTACTGTTGCACATATAGGAAAAACTAAAAAAACCCACTCCAGCGGCAGAAGCGGATCTACAGGTTCAGACCACCAGTCCGTTTTGCACGCGCGCCCCTGCGTTCAGACATCTGGCCACGTGAAATGAATGCACGGGGAATAAAAAACACCACTTGTGATGTGGTGCCTTTTTCACCCGGCTCCAAGTCATCCTACGATGGGGTGAGTATGTCTGGGGAACGCCTGGCAGGTGTGGCTGTGTGACTGCTCCCATTTAATCCTGAAGGGAGGGTGGCTATGTCAGGCCAAACTGCTCATGTGATCACACCCTAAGTGGATTCACTCAGTGGTATGAAATACTGGTATACAGAAATACCACCATAAACTGTACTCTTTTCAAAAAGGAGTTTTGAGACACTGCAAATATTAACAGATTTATAGTGGCTTAAGATTTCATGGACTAGTGATCTTTTCATCCAACTGAGGCGATGTTTAACTTTTCAGAAAGGAGGTGTTTGGTCTTAAGCATTCAAAGAAGCCCCATAGAAGAATTAGTTACTTTATTTAGAAACATTACATGCCACCTCACTACAGACCTGCTGTTTGTGTGGAGATAGGCTGCAGCAGTTGCTACGTGGTGAGGAAAGGCACTCTGTACATGCTCAGAGATTCAGATATGGTTTGGAATCTGTTTCTGTGAAAATGGCCACCAATAGGACATAATGGTGCTAAATAGAAGAAGGTGAGTAAATGCAAGAGTGGGGTGCCAAATAAAGACTGACAGGCATGTAAGATTATTTTTCTACTTATGCTCCAGTCTAAATTTACTTATATTCAAGTCTACAGTACTAGTGTAGAGTAAGTGGTCTGGACGATTATAGTTCTAAGAGAGATTTCTTAGACTTCACTTACATAGGATAGAGGCTGTGGGGAAAGCCTGTCTGTGCAACCTCTCCATGTCCGTCTGGTTAACATTTAAATATGCTGACTGTGTGCGCTGGTTGATTTAAGAGTCAGTGTTACCACACCTGGATTGATGACCCCAGCAGGCTAACATTAACACATGAATAGGTGCACCTGAACATCTGAGAAACGTGAAGCTGAATAACTGGGAGTATGGAATATAAATATTTCAAATCAATGCATTTAAACTCAATCAGTCATGTTTGAAAAGAGGTTTTTCACAAGGCATAAATCCATTCTAAATTGAAAGAAGATATGACAGACTTGCCCATGTACAGGATCCAGCAAGTGAAGGGCATTGTGACTCATAGAGCCTCATTCTCTTCTGCCTAAACCCATTGATTTCTACAGGCTTAGTTGGGCTTGCCTAACTGCATAGGACTGGGCAATACATTTAATAACACAATAAATCACAGTTCTCTCTTCATGACGATAACATCACCGGCATTGCAGAAGATGATGACATCACCAACATCTTCAGAAGATGGCTGGACGTGTAGTCTGGCCCATGGTTCTGTGGCATGCTGTTATACTGATATCCTGCTGTATCTCATAAGCTTGGAGAAGCTTTTGATGCTTCTATCAACATCGTCACTGTCTCTAATGATGGCACTGCTTGCACATAGGATTTTGAGCTCCTTCTTTGCAGTGGTGGCCTTGTGCAACCTCCTAAAGCACCCATGCACCCAAGGTCAGGGACGGGCACCCATTGAACATCACATGAGGGGTGCTTCTGGAAAGAAACTTTGCTTCTCTCATGGTATGTGAGTGGGAGTGCTTAATTCAAAGTACTCTTGTCTTGATGTGCTTGTATTTCCCTTCCCCATGCCACATTATTGGCTAGCAAGTAAAGGGAAATGTACATTGTAATAACATTAGTGCATGACAAACTTAACCTGATGTTGCAGCAAAGGAATGTGAAGCTCAGCATGGGGTTGCCATTAGAACTTTATCTGACCCAAGGATCCACAAATCATACTACACCTAGTTTTTTAATTGCTGTTTCCTTCAAGTTGCCATAAGACTCCTTTTTGTTTTTGCAAGTGAATACTGTTTTGTTCAGTTTCTCGTATGTCAACATCCTGCTATATGGCTGTAGGCCGGAAGAGAAAATACTAGTTTTTTTCTTTAGAAAATCTGTAAAGTTTAATGCTTCTGTCTTTTATTTGTACAGTAGCCAATGAGGAGATGGACCTTTTAAAAATGCTGTGAAACCATTAGAATGCAGCATACATGTTACTCTCTGGTGTACTTAAAAGTATAATGACCCCTTTTCAGGAGCATTTACTGCTAGAGTTGCTAACAACCTAGATAAAAAAAATGTCCTGTCCTTCCAACAGAAGCTTAATGGGATGTTATTTAACAGCCAATGTTCTATTACTTCATGTCATAAAAAGTTTCAACTGCCTGTTTCCATGCATTAAGCTGCTATTAAAGGGATAGGGCATTTTCTTCAGTACTGTTGGCAACTCTAACTGTGTCTAGTGAATATGGTGTGCTACCCAAGCTGATTTTTTTAATTATTTTTTTAAATCTACAACAACTTGTGCCAAGCATTTTTTGGGAGGTCTGCCTCCTTGTTTGCTTCTGCCTTTTTGATGCTTTTCTCTCTCTTTTTTACATTTTCAAAATGTACCCTCTGCAAATAAGGCCTCTCTGTTTCCTTTTCCACAGGAATAGATTAGCACTACAAGAACGCTGAAGCCCACAATAGCCATATTCAAAACCCAGGACCAGATGTCCTAGAACCCATATTCTTAAGTCATAGTAGTCAAAGAATAAACAAACATCCCTGACTGACGTGGAGCCGCTTCAAGTAGGTTAATACCTCCATCAGACTTCTTCATTTTGGAGGAGCAGAGCAACAGATAGCGGAATCAGAATGAAGACTGCTTTTGTTCTTATCTTGATCCTCTTAACCAGTTTTGTAGGTAGGTATGAACTGGGATGGTAGCGGGGGGGAAAGTTATGGGCTATTCTGTCCGGAGTTCTATGTTGATATTAGCAATGGCTCATTTGATTCGTTCTTTAAAATATCTTCATGGTCCTGGCTGCGCATCTACAAAATGTGGTTGGCTAAGGCTATTATGCTACACTGCAGTTTTGTTTAGTGTTGTCATTTTAACCATTGTGCTACTGTAGGGGAGAGCAACCACAGGAAAACACCTCTGGGAAGCTCCCAAGGACGTATATAGTTGCTGAAAAGTAAAGCAACCGATCTAGAGAGCTGGCCTCTATGCGGTCATATCATAAGGACAGTTCTGAAGTCATGCCACAGTCTGTGCGGGACATTAGGATCTCTGTGTATTTATATTTAGCACTGGAAAATAAGTAGGATTTAAAAGATCAGGGAATCTGGGTGGAGTTAGAGATGAGCACAAATAATTAAACTGCTCCCCAGCCATTGCTATATCTCGCTACAATAGAAAGAGAAAATGGGAGCAATAACTACCCTACCCTGTGTATATTGACTTGGCAGTGAGTGCTATTAAGTTCAATGGAAGTGCTTTCTTTAGGAAGTCAGTTCAGGATCCCAGCTTTAAAGAGCTTCATATTGACCATCCTGAGCACACTTAGTGGGAAGTAAATCCTGCTGAACTCAGCATGACTTACTTCTGAGTAAACGTGTAGGATCAGGCTGCGATCCTATGGAGTAAACACTATGGAATTCAATGGGATTTACTTCTAAGTATTTTATTTATTTAAAACATTTCTATGCCAACTTTCCACCCAAGGCAGGGACAGCTGCATGAGGATTTGTGTGTCATATATGTTAGTCAGTGGTAACATTTCGGTCTGGCTTTCTTCCGTGTTTTGAGCAATTTTACTTGGCTCTCCATATGATATTTGTATTATTAGCTCATATAATTTTCAAGCCCAAAGAACTTTGTCTTGCATAGCATCGTTACACCTGAAGGGCAGGAGCTGAATGTATTTATGTGCAAGCCCCATTGAAATGCATGGGACTCAGCTGTACATCCCAGTGCGGCTGACGCAAGGGAAAAGAAAAAAAGAACTCCCAGGTGGATTGTACCCAGTGGAAAGGGTAAATCTGATCACAGTAGATGGTGCTCTTAGACTTTTTTCATCATTTTTGAAGAGATGTGTTCTGTGTAGGTTTTGTTTACTTTAACCTGTCCAACTTATAAACAAGCCCTGGTTTATTATTAAAATGGTTTCAGATTCCACTCGTGCCGTCTGGAATGTAATATCCTCTGGAGAGGGCACTGTAATGAAAGAACACTTTGTGTATTGTAATATATATGTAATGTATATGTATATGCTTGCACTCTCATACATATACGCACACACACAGATATAACTTGCAAACACTTGATCCTCTGTGTAAAAGCTTAACTATTGTCCGTCTTGCTTGATTTTTCCCCAGATGCCTCCCCAATACTGCCGGAAAAACAAGCCAAACAGATTTTGAGAACCCGTCGTGAAGCAAGAAAACCTGGCTTTCCTGATGAGCCATTTAGGGTGATTTTAATATTTCAATTAAGATAAAAAAGGGTTTGGGCAGTTTTTAAACATGCGCAGTTCTAAGATCAGTAAAAGGCTTCGTCTGTTAAGCAGGAGTATTATTTCCGAAACAATCCCAAGTTTCTACAATGGTACAAAAAAGCTCTATATTTTATATGATTCTTCCCCACCCCCCTTCAAATGTAGGAATTAACTGTACCCACCTGATTTCTCATTCTCAAAGAAGGGCTCTGCATTTAAGCAATGTTTTAATAATACATACAGAAATATGTGAAGTGAATGAGAATAGCACTCCTTAATAAGTCATCAATACAAAATTAAAAACAAGGGGAAACCCAGTTGTATAACAGTAATAACACCTGTATATTTTCCCTTAAAAGGGAGCTTAGGGTTAGCATTTAAAAGAGCAGCATTTAAAAGAGCAACAACCCAAACACTTAGTACTGTGTCTCATTCACACTTAGTTTTGCCGTTTCTGCAGTGTTCCAGTCATTATATAACTGTTCACATAAAGAAGGGACTGTAGTGTAAGACATAACTAGGATTTTTGCTGTTAAGAGATGCCATGCTAAACTCAGTTTTTCTTTACTCTTGCTGCCAAACAATTTAGGCTGCTATCCTAAGGACACTTTCCTGGGAGTAAACCCAATTGAATAACATGAGGTTTTTTCTGAGTAGATTTACTTAGGATTCATCACATACAGCACAATCCTAAACAGAGTTCGTTGGACACAAAAAGGGTTCATCTCCACTTAGGATTGCCCAGGCAGTGAGTTTTCAAAATTTATACAGAGCATGTATCTATTCTTTTAAAAAGCAAGTGATTCTAGATATTATTAGGCTCTATACTTTGTATGTTTGATGTATATAGATATCTCTTGTCTTCTCTTGATTGGTGTATGCTAGCCAGGTCTTACCAGCCAACTTGCGTAACTCATGTTCATGTTATGATTGGCTGATAATACTCCACTGTATTTACCTACCATGTGTTCTAGGGGAGGTCCCTGTTATGGCAGAACATCAGAACACTTCTAGCATTATAACTGTTTGGTGCAATCTAACCCAAAGGAAAGAATTTAAAAGTCTCCTTTCAAAGGGGGCAGATGTAAGGAAATGCTTGATTTGCTTGCTGAAAACAATAGAACATATATGTACCTAATCTTTGGATAAATCATGCTCACTGTTCCTATATATTTGTTTAATGCTAATGATGTGCTAGGCGCTGTATATACCATGCTGAAACATGCTGAAAGTCCCTTTAATTTCAATGGGATTTAGCAATGTCTAAATTTTCTTTATGATTGATTTAATTCAGTTGGTTGTCTATAGAAGTAAAAGAAGGGAGTCTCAGAGTGGTTTACAAACTCCTTTCCCTTAATTTCCAACTGACATTTTAAATAAAATTTGTGGTGCCAACCAGTTAAAGGATTATGAAGCCATTACTCATTTGTTGTTGTTGTTTTTACAAATTGGCTGGTTATTCTGTTAAATTTAAAGAATCTTGCATATTTCCAAGGCCTCAATATAGGTATGTTTCTGAGGCAGTGAAGTCTCAAACGTTTGAACATGAAATAAACAAAAGTAATACTCATTTTTAGGCCATATTTAATATATTTCCATTTGAGATCCTTCCACTTTTTCTATGAGATAATGTCATATATATACTCATACCGATACAAAAGTCTAGAAATCTAAATTAAATTACTAAATCAAACCAGTCATGCTCAGGTTTCTTATAAGGTAATGGAGTTTGGTAGATCAAGCCAATAGATTCATGTAAGGCAAGGACACATCAATAAGTGGCTTTTAAATATTTTCTTTTAAAGGAGTACATGCTTTACCTCCAACGCTTGGAGCAGAGATCTGAAGAGCAATTCCTTGAGCACTGGCTGAATCCACACTGCTACCCACATTGTGACAGGAATTTAGTGTACCCTGTGTAAAGTGCTCGGTTCTTTGCCTCTCAGGGTAAGCATTTTTGTGCCTTTTCTGTGTTTCTTTAAAAAAGAAAATCTAGATACAACTTTTATATAAATTCTTTAATTCCATTATTTAAATATGTATTACCTATATAATATAAAATCTCCTATATCTAGTGCTGAACCTGACCCCATGTGGATTGATAGATCCAGAGAATGGGGTCAGGTTCAGATGAGGGTATTCTATTGTAGACCTGGGCATCCCTGGGTGGAGACCTGGGCTGGAAGTGGGTGGAGTAGGAAGGTGCCACCACGCAGCTAGATACAATCTGCCAGCTGCTGCACAACTGGGCTCAGCCCGCCGGCCACCACACAACTGGGACCAGCTGTCTTGGGAAGAGGCTGCCAGGGGGAAGGAAGGAGGGAAAGCTGAAAACGGGGGAGCAGATAAAAAGTAGGTTGGCTGATAGGTGAGAAGAAGAGGAGTGAAAAAGGGAGAGGTTATGGGGGTTGCCAGGGAAGGGAAA